TCAGTGATCGCGTAAAAGAAGACACCAGAAACCCAGCCAAAGATACCTAGCCAGCCTTCCAAACGACCCCCTCCTATGACCCTTCGAAAGACCCCAGCCAAAGACCTTGCCAATGTGCCCAGCATTGACTCAGTCAATGACCAATCCACTATAAAACTAGCCTAAGGACCTCCGCCTATGACCCAAGCCAAAGACCTTGCCAATGTGCCCAGCATTGACTCAGTCAATGACCCAATCCACTATAAAACCCCACCAAACAACTAAAAAACTATCCTACCTTGGGTGAGTTGTTTTTTTCCTCAACTGCTACTCTGTCATAACAGTCTATCAAATAATAGAGTACGGTATATTCAGTTCTGTTGTGTGATTGCAGAATTCTCAAAAACTGCAGTAAACTGTACTATGCCAGCAATTTTAAAAAAGAAGAACAACAAATATAATTGATGATTAAAACTAGAGGCCATTTTATCACTTTCTGCCAAGTTTCGGTTTTGACCGAAACTGGAAAGTTAAATTTCGGCTTTTTTGCATGTAAACAAGATCTGGGTTTCAATAAATAAATGTGATTGTGATTTAAGGAAAATAATTTACTTAGAAAAACTCACCAAATAATCATAAAACGCTCATTCCAAGTCACACGAAGAGAAAAATATAATCCAAAGTGTAACAAAAATGTTTTTTTCTGAGCTATATCCATATGTGCATCACAAATAATAAAGATCAACTTTCAAAAAATAAAAAAATTAAACCTCTGTGCACATTATCAATTGTCACCGTCACACAAAAAATTTGCAAAAAAAATTTAACCAATTCCACTGGAAACAATCTGTTGCTATTTAGAAAAAAATTGCCAATCATTAACAACAAACTAAAAGATCTTTAACAACAAACCAGGCGATCTTTATGAACAAACTAACCGATCTTTAAGAACAAATAAAGCGATCATTAACAAAAAACTAAACGATCTTTAACAACAAACTAAACTATCTTTAAGAACAAATTAACCGGTTTTTAAGAACTAAATGATCTTTAAAAACAAATAAAGCGATCTTTAAAAACAAATAAAGCGATCTTTAAGAACAAATTAAGCAATCTTTTAGAACAAACCTAATGATATGTAACAACAAACTAAGTGACATTTAATAACAAACTAAACGATCTTTAAAACAAACTAAGCAATCTTTAAGAAAAATCTAAGCAACCTTTAATAACAAACTAAACGATCTTAAAGAACAAACTAAATGATTTTTAAGAACTAAATGATCTTTAATAGTAAACTTAATGATTTATAAGAATAAACTATTATTAGTACACTAGTACTACTAAATACTAATACTAGTAGTTAGTAGTAGTATTATAATCATGATTAAACAGAATCAGCCTCTGCATTTGAAATCATAAAAATCACTGATTGAATCATCCTCAGAGTAATATTTCCCACCTTTATTAGATCGATCACCGGATGGGTCAGGTCAAGATTTCATGTTTGTAAACAAAAATAAAATGGACAATCAAAACAACCGCTTCAAACAATTCGTTCTTCGTTCCAACACAATAAAACCGGATATTTATGAAAGGGAAATCATTCAAGAATTGATTTAAAATAACTAAATACCAATAGCTAACAAAAGAACCGAAATAAACAAGTTTTTATACATCGACGATCCTATACGTAAAAATCTTCATTTCAAATCGACGATGGGAGCGTTGATCCAGAGGGAAAGAGTTAATGGTACCAGTAATCAGAAATCACTCATACTAATTAATTCTTAGTAGTAATAGTTAGTAGGTTACAGTTACACGTATAAATAGTATACCGGTAATTATTACATTTTGAATTAATGCCTAATGGCTACTCACTTTAACTTTATAATACATCAGTGATCTTGAGTTGACGACAGGTCCCACATTATTCATTATAATAGTAGTATAGGCCCTGGCTGTTTAAGTCTTTCTCTTCTCGGATGACAGCAGGGTGTTTTCAATACGGCCATCGATAAAATGACAGTTTGTCGTGGTGGGCTTTTCGGCTTGGTATTTTCGGTGAACTCTGCTCACTGTTTAATTTATATTTTCTATAAATAGATGAACCTTGCCCTTATATTATAGGGGATACAGCAAACATTTTTTAAAGCTTTAATCGTCAAATATTTTTTTTTAATAAGAAATATTAATTTATTCGAACCTATATGCATCACATTTTATCCATTCTAAAAAAATTATATTAATTTATTTTTTTTAAAATCCATGGATCACAAAATAAATGTAAATTTGAAAAAAATATCGATTCTTCAAAACTTGGATTTTGTGTTAGATTAATATCTTTATTATCATTAAATAAGATAAAATTATAAAATTAAATAATTTTAACATAATAATTGTGATTTGAAGAGGTTGGGGGTCTTTGTTTTTGTTCACACCTAACCCCAAATGACCTATTCTTTAACACTTGATTGCGCGGAATCCATCGGATCGATTCTATCAAGTTTGGCATCGTTGAAATCTAATCATTGCATTAAGAATGCCATTCCGATGACTAATTGATCTAAAAATAACCAAGTAAAAACCTTATGTATGCACAAAAGTAGATGATTGGCCAATTCGTAGTTATAAACGATTCTCTGCATTTTGATTGCTCCATGTCCGCAATTTTCCTTTACGGAAGCGTGACCTTCCTTGACTACGTGTAAACAAAGAGAAGTGAAAATTAATAGTTACACCATTGACCTACATTTACTTACCGAAACGAAGTAAATAAATAGCCCTAACAGTGATGTGTTTTTTTTTAATTCAATGTATACGATTTAAAAAAATGTAACCGCATTATTCTTCAATCTAAAGTTTATATTTTTAATTATTAATTAAAACGGAAAGTCAGAAAAAAAAACGGTCCTGGATTGATAATATCTCTCGGTAAAAGTTTGACCCCCGTATCAATGCAAGCCGTCTTCTGTCCTCCTTTCCATGTCAGCGAGACCTAAAAAATAACAAATAACAGGTAAACAAATGTTAACAAATTAGTTTGAAACGAATTTTACGGTTACCCGTATTTGAGCTTAGTTTAACTAAGACTAAGGCTTTAAGGGTAATAAGAGTTTGATTGAAATGAAAGTTTAGTTACTATTACTATTCAGTAATTTTTTGGGGTAAACTTTAACTGTAGTAGGCCCTATTTTTTTT